TCTATCTGTCTATCTGTCTGTCTGTCTGTCTGTCTGTCTGTCTGTCTGTCTGTCTGTCTGTCTGTCTGTCTGTCTGTCTGTCTGTCTGTCTGTCTGTCTGTCTATATATTCATATATCCATCCATCCTTTATTTATATTTTCTCTCCTGGTCTGTCTCATTTTCATCCAAAGTTATGCATAAAGTGTTTAGACATTGTCCTTTCATTCTTATTTCTTCATTTTAGAGAGTATTATTATGTAATCAGTATAGTCACAGAAGAGAAGCAGACTTTTAATCAATACCCACATGACATAAAACAACTTTACTATAGTTTTTATTGAGTGAATAAGTCCTGAGTCAGTTTATATTAGTCTTGAATGATCTTTAGTTATGTTCAGTCAGACAACAGACTGGTTGATGCACATCAGAAGGGATGGCTTTACTCAACCATGACAGAGTAAAAATTGTTATAACATTAGTTTGGATTTGTTCAGTTGCATTGTTTTGGCTTTTATGTTCATGGTTTGTGAGCTGTCATGTTTGGGTTTGTGGTTTTGTTCTTCTACAAGTGTAGTTTATGTTTTGTTCCCTTGTGCTTTTGTTCTCAAGTGATTCTGGACAATGTCACATCTTTTTATTTAAGATTTATGCTTGACTTTCTTTGTCTCTTTTGGGTTCTAACCCCCTCACAGCTGTTGCTCATTGGTCATTTGTTTTCCTTGTAAATGAAGTAAAAGCTGCTGGTTTTCAGTTTTGGCTGTCAAACCCTGTTTGTTGTTGTTGCCCACTGATGCGTGTTGGATACCTTTCTGTCCACCTGCATTTTGGAATCCAACACTACAAATATGTTTTCAGATAAATAAATAAAAAAAATCTGTGCAGATTGTTAAAACAGCCACCTATCATCACCTTCATAACCTTCAGCGAGAGTTGAAATGCAAATTTTGGTGTTAAAATAAAACGGTCTTTTTCATGAATGCCTGTAGAACATGACAGTTTTGTCACAGTAGATCATTTCATGGCCCACATATTTTTTTTTAACATTTTTATCAAAGTTATCTGCACATTTTTAAACTTATTTTATAATATTTATCTCAAATTGAAATTTATTTGGGTTGCAGTTTTACTATGTTCCTTAAAAGCTTCACCTTGTCTGCAAAGTATCATACAACCCAGAGGCGACGCGCATACAAAGTGATGTGCTTGAAATACAAAACACATAAATCTATTTGCACTGTCATCATCTGTATTACTCTTTTGTCTTTTCCACATGAGCAGCAACCTGCTCTGTGGCTTCAGAGCATCACTTTTTGTCACCTTTGCCAGAGTAGTGAAATCGACAGGAGGCCAGCTGTCTGTGCCTGTGTGTTTGCCGCCATGCTACTCTCTATTACTACCACCCCCTTCTGTAATTACAAGCTTCAGTGCACACAAGCTCACCATCAGGTGGGGCCGGGGCACCAGCAGCGCGCTCTCATCAGTGTAACATTTTCAGTCCCCTTCATGTGAAAGCTGCAGGCTAATGGGAGGCTCTTTGCACATCAGAGGTGCCACAGCCAGTGGCCTAATCAACCAGATTGAGATTAGAATATAGTAAATTTTCCCGCATATCATAGGTTAGCTCACCCCTAATTGGTTCGCCATCTGGGCGTTCCTTTCTTTCCTCTCAGTGGATATGTCTTTCTGTGTCAGCAATTCAAAACATGCTGGGTGGAGACGAAAACAAAGAAAATGTGGATTTAAAAAGAAAGAAAGATGTGAGCTAAGTCTGTGGTGAATTGTAAAACGAGCATGAAATTACATTTTTTTTCTCTCGTCTTGTTGTTGCTGTAATGATGGACATGAAATGAAAGAAAGCGTTTATACTTTTTGCCATTTTTGTGTCACTGGCTGATTAGGAGGGCTAATTGCTTTGCAATGAGAGACAACTGAGTTTTGAGTCAAACTGTAATATTTTCTAGAACCCCAACCAGATATTGGCTAAATCAAACATCAGGATCAAATTGGATCTGATCTCTAATCAGATCCTGACGGTTCTCTCATGAAAACCGTTTGGTTTGAACCACCATTTCAACTCAATTCAATTCAGTTTATTTATATAGCGCCAAATCACAACAAAGTTGTCTCAGGGCACTTTACAGAAACATTCACATACATAAAAGTCAATTAGTAAAGTTCTCTATCTAAGAAATCCAGCAGACAAGTTGAATCTTGGCTTCATTGCAGTCTCCCACCCTGAGTTAGGGCCAGCTTGGGTTTCCTGAGCTGTCCCTTAGTTATGCTGCTATAGGCTTAGACTGCTGAAGGACAAACTGACAACAATTTTCACTCTGCTGCTGTCTTTACTTACTCTGCTCAACCTGTTTTGTATTTGTAATTATTTTTTCTACCCTTAACATGTGTTTTTTTTGTCTTTCAGGTACACCTGGCCCTATACCTGGACCTACCATTCTGTGTTCGTCTGTCTCTCCTTCCTGTCCTCTCAACCAGCCGGTCAAAGCAGATGGCCGCTTGTCCTGAGCCTGGTTCTGCTGGAGGTTTCTTCCTTTTAAAAGGGATTTTTTCCTTTCCACTGTTGCCACTGTGCTTGCTCCAGTTAAGACTCTGGCAGCAGCATTTTGGATCAACTGAAGACGTTTTAAAGACATATTTGGACACCCAGATAATAAACCATTGCAATAGTCCAGTCTAAACGTGACAAATGCATGGACCAGTTTTTCTGCATAATTTTTAGATAAGACATTTCTAATTTTAGCGATATTACACAGTATTTTTTTATTAGTATTAGTAGCCACAGGAGCAGCACGGTGGCGCAACTGGTAGAGCTGCTGCCGCTCAGCGAGCAGGTCCCTGGTTCAAACCTCAGTCCAGGGGCCTTTCTGGGTGGAGTTTGTATGTTCTCGCCGTGCATGCATGGGTTTTCTCCGGGTACTCCGGTTTCCTCCCACAGACTAAAACATGCATGTTAGGCTGATTGGTAACTCTAAATTGTCCCTAGGTGTGAGTGAGAGAGTGAATGGTTGTTTGTCTCGTTTGTCTCTATGTGGCTCTGTGATGGACTTGCAACTTGTCCAGGGTGTACCCCGCCCCTCGCACAGTGATTGCTGGACATGGGCACCGGCGACCCCCGTGACCCAAAATGGAACAAGCGGGTAAAGAAAATGGATGGATGGATGGATAGTAGCCACAGTAGTTTTAGTATTAGTAGTAGTAGTAGTAGTATTTAGTAGTAGTATTAGTAGTAGTATTTTTATTGTATTTTGCTTTGTGTGTTACCTGTTGTTCTGTCTGTACAGCACTTTGGTTGGCCTTGTCGCTGTTTTAAGTGCTCTATAAATAAAATGGTATGGTATGGGTATGGTAGGTGGAAGAAGGCAGTTCTAGTAACGGTTTTAATGTGGGGGATAAAAGACATGTCCTGATCAAAAATAACACCAAGATTTTTAACATTAGAGCTGGAGGACAGATTAATGCCATCTAAGGAGTGAGAAAGACTGAAAAATTAATTCCTAAGGTGCTCAGGTCCAAAAACCAAAACCTCAGTCTTGTCTGTGTTCAACAGGAGAAAATTAAAGGTCTTCCAGGTTTTTATGTCTTTAAGACATGCTTGTAGTCTAAGTAGCTGATTGGATTCATTGGGTTTAATGGACAAATATAATTGTGTGTCATCAGCATAACAATGAAAATGTATCCCATGCTGTTTAATAACTTTACCATATGGAAGCATATAGTAAAGAGTATTGGCCCAATCACTGAGCACTCCATGACTAACTTTGGTGTATGAAGATTTATTATTTACATTTACAAACTGGAATCTATCAGATAGATATGATTTAAGCCATTTTAGAGCTGTTCCTGTAATCCCAATATCATATTCAAGCCTCTGTAGTAAAATATTGTGATCAACTGTATCAAATGCAGCACTGAGGTCTAACAGGACTCATTTGAGTCTCACCTGATAGGATTCAGGCAGCGGAATAAAAAAATTCACCATCACATGTTCTATCATGAGTTTGACATTCCAAAAAGCTGATGAACCTTTTGTGTTTACCCATAACTCTTTTTGAAGACTCAAACTTGAGCTCTTTTAAGAGCGACAGACTAATCTCCCCCTGAGACCTGAACATTTTATCTAGATGCACGGGTTAAACTCAGCATTAGCACTTCTCATTTGGGATGTTCCACATGGGTATTTCATTTTGGAAGACAGCGGGCTAAGAAGATTATGAGCCCAATTTATCGCACACACCCTGACTTCGCTTTATTGGCTGGGACCCTCTTATCAGGCTTTTCCAGCAGCAACAGCCACTGGCATCCTCTGAACGTCTGTAATTGACGCAACATTATTTTTAGCACAAATATGAACTTTCAAAACCATTTTTATCCTCGTGTATGTTCTAAAATCTAAACAGGGCTCATTATGGGGGACTAAAGGCAAGAGAATGGAACTCGGTCAACCTTCAAAGGGATTTTGAGCAAACAGAATGAAGTAAAGCTTATTGTGCTTCATCTGACCCTTTGGTGAGTCAGAAAGGAGGGGAGAAGGTGGGACAGTTGCTGCACGAGTAAGGATATAAAACCTTGAGACAAGAGGATGCTCCTCTCTCAAACCCGCTGCCATCTCAGTGGTGGAAATGTTGGAGTTGGGGTGGGTCGACTTTGAGGTGACATTGACGCCATGTAGATGAGAGTGAAAAATCCACGCGCTCCATGTTACGTCCCTGCTCGCTCCAAGTCAGGCGGCGGCAGCTCCGTTCCCCGTCTTCTCTCCCTTCCTCTCTTTCAGCACCACTCCTTTAAGGACAGCACCTCGCTCTCCGAGACGCACTTGTCCACCATCGTCCCCCCTTTGAGGATCAGCTTCCTGCTCCCTGCCGCCGGATGCAAAAGTTTTCACCTTGGTTTTACTTACACCAGACTCAAAGGAAATAACTTTTTTATTTTTTTAATCATTTGGATTCTCAACCTCCTGGGGGAACAAGCTGTCAAACCAGCTGATTTTTTCGTAAGTTTGAATGTTTTTCCTCCCTTATTAATAAATTAAAATGAACGGGTCTGGTTCTCTCTTGAGACGCGCGACTTGAGGAAAAAGGTGCGCACATGCGAAGAATTTCGCAAAGAGTGAGGATGTGTTGCGCTTGACCTGAGGGGACCAGGACTTATTTCACGGTGGAAATTTGCATGTTTGATCCTTGAGCCCGGCTGCCACATGTCCTCAAGATCCTTTATATATATTTGTGTGAGTGTGTGCGTAAAGACAACTGGATTTTTTTGAGGGATGGAAAGTGCGCTCAAAATGCTGCTCTCCGGCTATGACATCATGCTTGAGTGTTTGTGGCTCCTAAAAAGAAACGTTGAGTCAGAATGTAAGAATATAATAGTAATGTGTAAAAAAAAAAAAAAAACATCTGTTAGACGTTAAGCATGTTCTTTTGTCCTCGGTGCATCCTCTCCATGACGCACCAGCTGACAGAGCGCGCTCCTCTTCAGCCACTTTTATATAAAAAGACGTTTATTTTAAACGCTTAAATCTTTTTATTATTATTATTTTTAAAAAGCACACATTGAGAAAATCTGTACAATTTTGAATTACAATTGGAAAAAATAAAACGAATTATTTATCAAGTAAAAAATTAAACCTTGTTGACGAATCACAGATAAACTGAAACTGCAGCCTCCAAAGAGTTATTATCCTCTTCAGGTGATTTACTGGACGTGGTGGTTGCGACTGACTCCTAAATGTGTTTAATTGCTCTCCTCTTGTAGGGAGCTGTGGGAAGTGGGCCATTGAATTTAGAGCACAATGAATCAAGGGCAAGAGCAGGCTCTAAATTTCTGCTAACATGGATTCACTTCAGGCCATTTCAAGTGTTTCCTTCTTTGTGGGAAGTCTTTATTTCATCCCGAGGGGTTCACATGCCCCCGGGCATTTAAACAAATCATGGAATGAAAATCATTAAGGTTTCAGATGCTTAAAATTTGTTGCATATTTTGCATGCTTTATAGAGCACAGGGAAATACTGTAAGCATTTCATATGAAATAATTTTAAAATGTCAGACGGTTAATGAGAAAATGGCAGTTCGTAAATATTAAAAACAAACTTATATAAACTAGACTCGTGTACAACTTGTATAATTATGACGGATTTTTTTGTTTGTTTATTTTTTGTAAATTTTTAATATTTACACTTTATGTTTTTAGAGTTGCCGCTCCTGATCCTTCACGCGCACCGGCTGCTCTCTCAGCTCTTCTCTGGGGGGACCAGGGAAACGGGACGGACAAGCTGCGATCCGCCTGGACCGGTGCTGAAACCACCACTTCTCCACTGGTCAGGACTATCCGACCCAGAGTGTCACCATGGCTACCAACGGGACCAAAGCCTCGGACGGACACGTCCAAACTGAGACAGTGAATGACGCAGCCAGCACCACGCCAAATGACAAACCCAAAACGTTGGTGGTGAAGGTGCAGAAGACAAAAAAGGAGATACCCGAGAGGGAAACGTGGGTTGGGAAATTTGACTTTCTTCTGTCTTGTGTGGGATACGCAATCGGACTCGGAAATGTCTGGAGATTTCCTTATTTATGTGGAAAGAACGGCGGAGGTAATGAGGAATTATTGGCAATTTTCCACCCAACTAAAGGAATGTAAAGATCCTGACACCAAAGGGCCAGAGTTTCCTGCCGGAGAGTTTAAATTAAACGCGATCTTAAATGTTTCATAGCCGTGCGTAATTGCGCACGAGCAACAAAGCCAGTACAATGCCCCGGACGCGCTTTGAAACAAATTCTTCCTCCTACTAAATTACGGATTATCTTAAATATTGGTCAAATGTGATGTCTCGTTATTTACACCTTTGCTTCTCACCTCTCATTCAGGGGCCTTCTTGATTCCCTACTTTTTGACGCTGGTATTTGCTGGCATGCCTCTGTTCTTTCTGGAGACGGCTCTGGGTCAGTACACCTCCATTGGAGGACTTGGAGTGTGGAAACTGGCTCCGATGTTCAAAGGTAAAAAGATACATCTCCCATACTTTATGCTCTTTTATTATGTTAGCTGCGTTTGATTGACAAAAGGTCAGATGAAGGAGACAGACAATGTTTTGTTTTCTTTTTATTTAGTTTTTTAGCTCACATTTAACATCACACTTGTATTTTTTGGATGTTTTCAGGTGTGGGTCTAGCTGCTGCCGTTTTGTCCTTTTGGCTCAATATCTACTACATTGTAATAATTTGCTGGGCTATTTACTATCTGTACAACTCCTTCACTGCTGTGAGTATGTTCATACAAAAAAAAAAATAATAAAAAATCCTAATCCCCCCCCCACCACACACACACACACACACACACACGCACACACACGCACACACACGCACACACACACATTCACCTCCTTCATTCAAGTGAAGTTAAAGTCCAGAAGTTTTTGTATTTTAATGCAAAACGTGGTTGTTGTTTTTTTATGTATCTTTACTTAGTGATTCACTTAAGTCATGTGTCAGGCATTTTGCCAGCATCTCTTATATAAGACTAAAACACCCTTAGCAGTGTATGACTTTTATTACTTCCTTTCCTGCATAATTAGCTCCTTACACAAGGTATTGATAAATGCATTCTGCAATGAAGCATTCACTCTTCGGCAAAAAGCATGAAATCTCAATGTCCCAAATGAGCATCACGGTCTTGGCTGCATGACAGCCAGAGAGAAAAGGACCCAGCGATGGGAGAGGGGGTTCAAGGAAAAAAGAGCTGTCTTCTCGTTTCTATGTGCTCTTTTTGTCTCTTCAGGAGCTGCCATGGCAGTCTTGTGGCAACGTCTGGAACACAGATCGCTGCTACACCAACTACAGCATCACAGACACCAAAAACCTAACCAGTGCTGTGGTGGAGTTCTGGGAGTAAGTTGCACACTTTAGACTGCTCTGCTTTAACAGGATGAAAGCCAATTATGTCATTTTGCCTTGCGTGAAGGAGATGGGCTCAAGTGAGGCAATATGCAAGTGAAAATTCAGTCCTTTGACACAAAATATCCTCAAGGACATCAGTCCTTTGACACAAAATATCCTCAAGGACATCAGGAGAAAACATACATGCAAAACACATCTGTGGAGAAAGAAGAGCAAAGATAATGCACACAAACATGATTTCTCTTGACTGTAGTGTCTGTGAAAAGCTTTAGGGGTAAGAAAAAAGTCGTGAAGAGGCTCTTTGTAAATATCAAGATGTGTGTTGGCATATTTGTGCACGCACCCGTGCGCGCTACATGTATGAGATTAAACATGCCTTTGTGCACTGCAGTAAAACTGCTTTACTTCTTCCCTGCAGGCGCAACATGCACCAGCTGACCGATGGTCTGGAGAAGCCTGGGGAGGTCAGGATCCCACTGGCTATCACCCTTTTCATTGCATGGGTGCTCGTCTATTTCTGCATCTGGAAGGGGGTCAGCTGGACTGGCAAAGTGAGGAACAAAGACAACACATCAGCACAGCAAAGTAGCATGAAATAAAACATATTGGGATGAACAATTTGCTGCCAATTTGGAGTTTGTTTTGTAATTTATGATTTCAGCATCAGAGAATGTATAAAGTGAAGGAAATTGCTTTTTTTTTTTTTGTTTCTCACATTTTGTTAATCCACAAATTTACAGGAATAAATTATAATTTAAACTTTAATTTGTGGTATCATTGGCTCAATACATATTTATTTAATGCTGGTGTCAAACTCTGCACTGGTTCTTGTTTTTATTCAATAGATTTGATCTTAATTGAAATGAACTGACTTTGATAGCAGGAGCAAAACTGGTACAGATAAGAAGGTAAAAGTTCAGTAAAAGTGTGCTGAACACCATAATTCAGGTGTCACCTTTCCTCTGAGGTACGATTGACTCGGTCATTGTGCAGTGCTGTGGGAATGGTGCCACAGTAACCCAGTACATGAACTAGCTGAGCAATTCAGCATTTCATTTTTAATCTTTTTGTCACCTTGCAGAACAAACGTTTCACGTGTGAGCTTCAGCTCTGGTTTGCATGCTGTAAAAATGGTGCTTTGTGTCTCACAGGTGGTGTACTTCTCAGCAACATATCCCTACTTCATGCTCTTCATCCTGTTTTGTCGGGGCGTCACTCTGCCTGGAGCTTTTGATGGGATTCTCTTCTACATCACACCAGATTTTGACAAATTAAAACAATCTGAGGTGAGCTCTCAATTCAGCTGAATTCTGAAACATACTTCGCATAAAATACACACAAAAAAGTGACTATGAAGGACAAGTTGAGCTCCTATAGAAAGGGGTTGTTTTTACAGAATAGAATAGAAAAGATCCTGCAGGTTAACTTGGATTTTACAGAAACTGAAAGGTTTCTGCCCCTTGCAGCAATCCCATTTCTGATTAGACTTTCAAATACAGACTGACAGGACAGAGTCTATGTTTCTAATCAGCTTCAGACAGATACAAGCTGTTGACAGGATACATAACATCATTTACGCTGGCATCGTGAAGTGTTACACTGCCGTGTCGAGGTTTTTACAGATAAATCCTGCATCAGTGTGAAGGAGAAATGTGAAACTCCAATAGAACATCAGTCTTTTACTAAACGAGCAGAAAATGCTTCTCTTTGGTGAAGTTTAAACAAATTTTCTCCTGCGTAATACTGTCACTCGTGAACTTATGTTTATTTATGAGTATAGTAAAAAAGTTAAATGGTCAGGAAACAAAAGGATGAGAGCAAATAAAAACTATAATTGTAGGTTTCTGGATGAAGTAATTTTCTTATCTGCTTTTCTATCAGACTTTTAATAAATGAGACACAATAATGGAAATGTTTCCATTCCTCCAGCTGCATATTCTGCCTTAAGTTGACAAAAAACATAAAAAAATATAATATACCGACATGAGCAAGGGTATTTTTTTAAATAAACATACAGTATATTTTTAGTTTCATTTGAGCACAAACTACATGTTTATACTTATGTTTTCTAATCCTTATGTGTCAGGTGTGGCTCGACGCTGCCACGCAGATCTTCTTTTCTTACGGACTGGGATTAGGCTCTCTCATTGCTCTTGGCAGCTACAATCCCTTCAATAATAATGTCTACAGGTATGTGATTAAAATATGTCACACTCAAGGTACATTTACTTCATTAATTCAACATGCTTGATTGGTACACTGGTACATTCTCACTGGTACATTCTCAATGGTACATTTTCATCTTTAAATCACTTCGCGATCTGTTGCTTTCATACATCACCTCCTACATGTGTGAGTGCAGCTACAGCGTGCGCTCTCAGGACATTATTACCTGCAGTGTTCCCTCAGTGCGGACTGAACTAGGCAAAAGGGCTTTCTCCTACTCCGCTCCTGTTTCCTGGAATATCTTGCAAAAAGATCTGAAGCTCTCGATCTTGATCTCTATAAGAGGCTTTAAGAATCTGTTCCTGGGAAAATAAACAATGCAGACATGTTCCTGTTTTGAGTATTTTACACCACCTTACAATCTAGTTGTTTTTTTGGGGGGGGTTAAATTTTTTTTAATGCCACTTTATTTTCACTTCTTATTCTCAATTTGTATGCATCCTTCATGACTGACTATTGTTGTCTTTGTTGTCTACTGTTGTCATCACTCCTTGTTAAAATCAGGTCTCTCTTGTAAATGAGTCCCCGAGGCTCAATGGGATTAACCTGTATAAATAAAGGTTGAATTAAAAAAAAAAAAAAAAAAAAAGATCCAGCTTCAAGATTGATCTTGATCACCTGCAGTGATTTTTTATTTTTTTTTACGGTGAATTCTCCTACTTTTGTTTCTATGACAACATTGTAGATCAGAAAATATTTGACCTTTCAGTCACAAGGTGTCGTTTGTTTCATTGATTTGGCTTTACCTTGTGTTCCAGTAGTTACATGTGATTCAGACATTACTTCAAGGGTAGGCTTTTAAAAGCAGATAAGTGTTTAATTTTGCTATTAAATATGCTAAAATGTCTATATTTTTCTGCCATTTTAAACAAGATCAGGTCAGTTTGTATGTTTTCATCCACTGTGCAAACAAAGGATAAAAAATGGCTTTCAACACCTAACCCCCCCCCCCCCCCGCTTGTCCACAATGTGTGACGGGTTGATAAGGAATTGATACAAGCGTGACAATGGCTGCCTTGCGCTTTGTCTATCTCCCCTGCAGAGATTCTATCATCGTCTGCTGCATCAACTCCTTCACCAGTATGTTTGCCGGCTTTGTCATCTTTTCCATTGTGGGATTCATGGCTCACGTAACAAAGAGACCAATTGCTGATGTGGCAGCTTCAGGTAATTGCAATCAATGTTGAAACTCAATAGTAACAACAGACTCAAGCAGGAGATTTTTTTTCCAACTACGTAGACTTTGAACTAACAGTCAAAAAGATGGGATGTTTTTCTTTGTCACTTTGTAAATTCAGGAATTATTAAAAAAGTAAATGTTCATTTGTTTGATATTTTGACAGACTTTCACCTTGACTGTCATGATTAATTCTTTGCATTTTTTTCATTCAGTTTCATTTTCTTTTTTACTTTCATTATCAGCAAGCATTTATTAGACACTATGTTCACTTGTAGATAGTTGTGTATTTATATGACTCATACATTATTATTACTGTGATGTATATGGGGAATAAGTGTAATCTTTCTTCAATCAGGACCTGGTCTGGCATTTCTAGCATATCCTGAGGCCGTCACCCAGCTGCCTATCTCTCCTTTGTGGGCAATTCTCTTTTTCTCCATGCTGCTGATGCTGGGAATCGACAGCCAGGTGAAAATTATCCAATAAAAATGCATTGACCTTTGGGCCTTTGCAGTACTTTCTATCTCATTTCTAAGCTGCAAATAGTAAAGATTTCCCATTGTAACCACAAATTTTACTGTTTCAGATTACAAATTTTTATACTGTAATGTGCCTTAATACGTAGCTTATTGTGCCTTGATATAACATTTTCAGTCTTGTAGTAAACCTTTGCATTAGTTTTATTGTGGCAGCAGAGGAATTAGTAACAGTTTTGAAACGGCTCTGCCAACTCTGCAGTTCTGCACTGTGGAAGGTTTCATCACTGCGCTGGTTGATGAATTTCCTCGGGTCCTCCGAAAGCGTCGAGAGATCTTCATCGCTGTCGTCTGCCTTGTTTCTTATATAATTGGCTTGTCTAACATCACACAGGTAAATATGACTACGTATTCGGTTATTTTGTCTGAAATATGAAGCAGTCTGACTGAGTGACACAGTTTGCTTCGCATCAGACTTGGTTTGGATCACCCTTTTGATTCTGGTATGACCTTCATGTGTAGTAACCAAACATTTAAGTCAAAAAATACTCTCTCTCTCAGAATGGACAATCTGTTTTGATATTTGTACACATTTCCATTGCAGAAAATTGTCTCGGATCATTCTACTCACATTGTTAGATATTATTAGTCCAATTAAGTTTTATTTTATCTGTGGAAAAAGTTACTACAAACTTCTGAAACCAAAATAATCCAGTATATTTCTTAACTCTTCAGTTTGGCCACATTTGGACAAGGGTGATCTAACCCCACTGGGCCTTTTTGTTGCTGTCTAAACAGTGCAAACCTTTATATTTTTACTTTAGAGTCCTAAAAACAGCAATAGTTCAACAGTTTAAAAGTTTTTTTTAAACAAATCACCATTAAAATCATAAAAACGTCAATTCACCACAGGCTGTGATTGTTTTTGTATATGAAACTTGGAGATATTTGAATATCTCCACCTCCTTGCAGCCACATCTATTTATGCTCAGTTAATACTGCAACATTCAACTGCACCAATTAAAGTCTGTCCTGTACATGCTATTGCTATTTTTGGGTGTAACTGGCACCTTGAGTACATAATTTCATTCCATCTCATGTACCACATGTGATGAGAATGAAAACAAAGAAACCTGAATTTGAACTTGAACATACCATATCATCCATCCATTATCTTTTACCTGCTTCTTCCATTTTGGGTCACGGGGGTTGCTGGTGCCCATGTCCAGCAATCACAGTGCGAGGGGCTGGGTACACCCTGGACAGGTCGCAAATCCATCACACGGCCACATAGAGACAAACAACCATTCACTCTCTCACTCACACCTAGGGACAATTTAGAGTTACCAATCAGCCTAACATGCATGTTTTTGGTCTGTGGGAGGAAACCGGAGTACCTGGAAAAAACCCACACATGCACGGAGAGAACATGCAAACTCCACCCAGAAAGGCACTTGGATTTGAACCGGGGACCTGCTCGCTGAGAGGCAACAGCTCTACCAGTTGCGCCACCGTGCTGCCCCATACCATACCATACCATACTATTCCATACCATACCATACTATTCCATACCATACCATACCATACCATACCATACCATACCATACTATTCCATACCATACCATACTATTCCATACCATACCATTTTATTTATAGAGCACTTAAAACAGCAACAAGGCCAACCAAAGTTCTGTACAAACAGAAAAACAGGCAACACACAAAGCAATATGCACATGAATATATAACATGAATATAACTACCTCTCCTGTTGTTGATCATCATCTTTTTTGTGTTAATTGCTTGGTTTACAGGGTGGATTGTACGTATTTAAACTATTTGACTACTACTCAGCAAGTGGGATGTCTCTGCTTTTCCTTGTGTTCTTTGAGTGCATCTCAATTTCATGGTTCTATGGTGAGCAACACATTTTTCTGTGAAAATATATATAGATAGATACATAATTTCTATTTTTTTACATCTTAAAACAACTTTTAAGTCTCAGAAAATACCAAGTCGTGAAATCAAACAGCAAACTAAACTCAAGCCTAAGCTGATGAATAATGCAGTCCTAAAACAATATAAAAACAACAGACAAAAACATTTTCACATTTTTTGTTGCAGGTGTGAACAAATTCTACGACAACATTGAGGAGATGATTGGTTACAGACCCTGTTTGTGGTGGAAGGCCTGCTGGGTTGTTTTCACTCCTCTCATTGTGGCTGTAAGTTGACTTCTCATGCCAACATATGCAGCTTACTAACATGAAAACTATTTGTCCAACCAGATCAAAATGTTTGTGACTTCTCAGAAAGAATTGCACCATATATAAAAAAAATCATTTTGGTAAAATGAGCTGTGGCTTTTTTGCTGTACAGCTTTTTCTTCATTAACAGTTAATAAGCACAATTACTGTTACTTTCTATTGTCATAGTAATCATATGGTACCAATTAAATGTTTACACATTGTGCAAAACAGCAATGTTCTTAAAAATCACTCTAATTTTTAAACACTTGATTATTTTGTGCATTTATAATGTTCATGTGTGTGATGAGAAATTTTCTGAGATCTCTTCACTTGTCACTTTCTCGTCCAGGGCGTCTTTTTGTTCAGTGCAGTGCAGATGGTCCCGCTCACCATGGGCGATTATGTGTTCCCGGGCTGGGGACAGGGAGTCGGCTGGTGCATGGCCCTATCCTCCATGGTCCTGATCCCCGGCTACATGGGCTACATGTTCCTCACACTCAAAGGCACATACAAAGAGGTAAGATCGAATGTAGATTTGAGCTCTTTATATCTAAAGTTTATCGATGAAGCTTGCAAAATGATTTAACTTTAACGACTGCGACTATGCCCAGATGTCAGGACCAAAGGGAACAGAGACCAAGACTCAGAATGAACTTACAATGTTAATTTACACGTGATAAATGATGTAATAAGCCAGGGAGGAGACTGGAACCCTAAAGAGCAAAGGGGTAATTGGGAATCTTGTAGTAAAGGGTGATAATGTTATTGCTGATCTTCCAGATGTGGGGAGGGCTGAACCAAATGGTTTCAGAAGACGGATGTGTATGTCTGGACGATGGCAGGCGTTAGGCAAGTGGTAGGAAGACATGGAGGCAGCTGATGAGGCACAGAGGAGGATTCAGGAAACAGGCGGACATCAAGGGTACCTCACTGGAGGCGCCGAGAGAAATACAAATCATTAATACCTGGATTTAGAGATGAGTAAAAGACTAGAACAAGACTACCGTTGGCAAGTAGTGCTCCAGCGCTGGCTGAATGTCTTCTGCTGCCTTTTATGCTCCTCATGCTTATCAAGTCGATGATCCACAGGTGTAGCAGATTAGAGTATGGCTGTGGGTGCAGGAGCTGGCAGAGCAGAACTCCCACATGAACACGTTAAAGTTGACTTTTAAACACGACTACATTAGCGTTGGTTTGTAAGTAAAAATCAAGAAAGTATTCCATAGAGTGCGCTCAGCTTTTCCAGAGCAGGTAAAATTAGAATGTGAGTATATGTTGTCTAAATTTTAATGCACAACCACACCTGGTAGGTAGTGTTGAGAGATTAAATGGATTGCTTTATATTATTTTATTTTCCTACAGTCACTTACGTATACCAGTGACATTTAAAGATAGCACACAAGCTCCAAAGATTGTGGGGAAAATGCTGAAACTTTACAGGAAGCTTCAACAAACATTTTACTATAACAGCAGCTCAGAAGCAGGAACCCAGAATCTGCAGCACTTTGTCTTCACTCTCATTTGCAACAGCTTTACAGTAAACACATACATTTATAAATATATTGGAATACATTTTGCATTTAAGAAGGCAAAGGAAGCCCAAACGCCAGAGAAGAACATGCTGACTTTAGCTCGGTGCTCTGCTCTGAGGATTATACTCTGGTACTGTCAGTCAGTGGTTTTGTAATGAGAAAACACACAAGCATCCTCGACGGAGTAATAATAAATTGAAATGAAGAGAGCTGTGATAAAAGGATTAGCAAAAGAGAATTTTAATTAGTTTTGTGAGGCAATTTTTCACGGCCTTCTGTTTAACAGCCACTGGATTCTCAGGAAATTACATTCACCTTTCTGCAGCCCGATGATGCACTTATATAAACCGGGCAGTCTTAATAACGACAGATAATACCTGTTTTGTTTTGCTTTTTGCAGAAAATTCACATTAACAGCTTTTTTGATATGCATTCATCCACAGTGTGCTGGTGGCAGATGTAGCTTCTAGCCACTGCTGACAGAATGAATGTGCCATAATTGCAGGCGGTGCAGCCGAGGCTATCAGAGGCGAAATGCAGGTGTCAAATCCTGCAGCTGATGGCGGATTGTCTAATTGTAGCAATCAGGCAGCTGAGTAGTGCTTGCCACCTGCCTGGGTGGACAATCCATTAAAATGGCCTGTAAATTGGACCGGCCCTCTACTTTTCATAGCTGAAAATATTTGGGAGAAATTTAAGAAGTATGAGTTTTCTTTCTAGGACAAAGCTTCCTCTGATGGCATCATGCTTACAGCTGTGCTTTTGTCTTCTACTTCCTGTCATGTCAGCAGCAGTAGTTAGTTTATATATTTTTTAAATTCAGCTGTAAGATCAGTTTTGTCACTAATGCTTTTCGTAGCGTCTGCGGATGATGTTCAAACCCGTGGCGCTGGCGAAGACTCAAGAAAATGGTCCGGATCAGCAGCTAGAAAATCAGAATCAGAACCCAGCCAACGAGGAGGCCTACATCTAAACTTAAAACTTGTTTCTGTGGTTCAACGGCAAGACCAGCGCTCCATCGTAATCAAGGTTGGGAACGACCACTAGACTTCTATGTCTGCTTTTATTCACCTACCTCCTGGGGACACGTGAAACCAACCTGATTACAGTTATTTTTAGGGGGTTTTCTGTTGTTTATTTTTATAATACAGAGTTATAAAATGTGTGAAGGAAAATACAAATTACCCAGCAACGCTGTTGTTATATTATAAAATTGTATTATGCAAAAAAAAATTTAATTTTCTTGGGAAAGAAACCATGACTTATAGAAAACTATTGTATATTAAATATGTACAATTTAAATCAGGAGGCTCATGTTGAATCAATACTATTATTCATGCAAGAAATTAACAAATACACTAAACCCCGATTACTGTACAAAGAAAATATAAATAAAAATATTCTGTTTTGCACGTTAAATAAATACAATAAATTAAATGCTGTGTCGGAAGGAAAACAAAAGTTTAAATTTATGAAGAAATGATTTATTATCCACATATATAAGGCCAAGACAATATGGGAATGTGCAACAGGTAAGGCCAAATCAGTGTAAACTATAACTTGGTCAGACTATCAGACCCTCGCAAAATCCTTCACACCACCAGAAATGTTTACCACCCACGTTGGGAGCAGCATAGGAAAAGCACAAAATAGAGTTTCTTCTTTTTGACGTGACTGAAACCTGTGACAGCAGCAAAAATAACAAATGAAGAAAAACTTAGCAAGAGACTGTTATAACCGTTTGTTTTGTAAAGAACAATTCCTTTTATAGAGTCTGAATCCTTTTTTTATTACAGTCATTTGTCGGTGATTTTCTATGTGTGAACATGAGAGGGACCAAATCACGCTCTAGCTTGAACAATTTGTGCGGGAGTTTGACCTGCTGACTGCGTGCAGATTGAATAAAAGCACCCCTTTTTGATGACGTAGAGCAATAATTTAGAAGAAAAAACACATAATCAGCCTACAAGCACAAGTTTACTCTGTGAACAATTTTTAATAAGAAAAATCCCACATTTCCACCCTCCAATCAAATGGGAAATTTGATTGTGGAAAGAAAGCACATCGTTGCATTGATCCAGTGCTAAATTGAATTTATTTTGTGAACTAAAACAGTGCATAATGCTGTGTCTGGTGTTTTGCATTGGAGGAAGTAAAATGGATTTCCACTCTTATTCTAACTGCACTTCTTTACTTACATACTTGTTTAATAACACACTCCTCAGGAACAAAGGTAGATGTGACCAAATTGTTCAAGACACCACCCTGAAACATTCAATTAATAAAGACTGCATTAAAAAAAAATCTAACTATTGACTTTCTATCATCCCCTTTATGAATTAAACACGCAGCAAAAGTCTTAGTATAAACATGCACAAAGCTGCATTAAAACCTGATCCAAATTGTTGGTTCTTGCTGGTGTTTCATCTGTTTGTGGCCTTTTAAATAGAAAATATCACATGTTTTGACTCTGTACCAAGTGCAGATATTCATTATGAAACTTGGAGCGAGGAACTTTGGTTCAATCAGAAATTAAATCTGGCAAATGAGCGTAACCACAACAGAACACAGTCGGATGTTTAACAGATCAACGTCACTGAAAAGATCCCTTCTCAAGCGAGAAATTAAAACCTATCATTTCACTGATTCTGTACAAAACTGCATGATCGAAATACATGTAAACCATATGAATATGCTACGTTTGTGACAAACCGCAAGTATCACATAGAAGGGTCAAAAGAATTAGCTTCAGTGGCAGCTACATGCGACAGGAATCAGGTTGAATCAGTCCCGTTTTTTCTTTCATCTACATTTTTCTTTCAAAGATATGTGAAATAAAATGTGCAATGACAAAAGCGTTCCATGAGTTTTGTACAAAGTTACCATTCTGCAGTTTCTCTCTTGAATGATGTTGTAAACTAGACTGTGTAATACATGTATCTGTGAATGTCCGTACAAGCCGAGTTTATTTTTTCTTTTTATTACGTCAAAATGTTGAATGAAAAATGTGATATTATTTGCTGTTTTCTGCAATAATACTATCTCAGAAACTAAGTCACATATCTTTCTCTCTGCTGAAAAAAAAAATGATAATAACATATTAGAAGTAATAATATTAAAGATTATATATAATAATTTATTAGAAATGTCTAGTCAGAGAATATTGTTTTGTATATTTTTAGCTGTTACATGGGCCTAATGTAAAATATTCTATGTAAAAATATAATAAATGTCTTTAGATGGTGTTATATGAAAAAGCATGATTGCTATATATGTTATCTTCAAAAATAAAGATCTATAGATTATAATGTCAGTTTCATGTCCTTTTAAAGTAAGTTTGAATTTATTCACATCCACTTCAAACCCTAATAAATTTGTTTTACAAGTCAGTGTTAAAAAAAAACAAAAAAAACTAATGAAATCATTTTAGTTTGCCAAATGAATAGTATATGAATGAATAGTTTATCAGTACTTCCAAACTTCAGCTCAAAAGGTTTGAAAATATTCTTCAAAATGTGCCTTTACATCACAGTCCTGACCTGCTCAGTCAAATGCTAATGCACAGTTTATTACATAAGTGGGAATGAATATGCAATCAGCTCCATCACCGCAAAGATGTTGGCAGGCTTTAAGCTCAGCTGATAGCATCTGACAAAATGGCTCTCTGCTGCCACAGTAATATCCTTCAGACACCTGCAGTGAAATCTGTGCCAGCAGAGACTCGAGCTGTCCTGGCCGCCGGCCTAAACCTCCCAGTCACAATGCATCATCCGTCCCCCAGTGGCTGTGCAGCAGTTGCTTTTTTAAAATCTAAAAAGAAACCAAACTGTCAGAAATGGAGCATTTTGTTTCTTGGCATCTTGGTCCTAAATACTTCATTAAAAAATAAACAGTATAATGTGGAACAGAAAATTAAGACAGGTTTGTGTGAAGCACATGCTGCTAAACAAACAATAACTAAAATCCAGCATTTCTAAAAATAATGCTCCATTATCCATGCCAATTTTTAAAGATTTTATGCAAACTTAGTGCTTAAAACGTGTTCAGCTACATTATATTTTAGCTCAATATCTTTATCTGAATGATTTATAGTCATATTTGTGTCTACTAAGGCTACAATAGCCATCATGAGTCAGGATGGCTTCAAAGTTTGTAGACGATGTGAATCAAATGATTAATTTCTCAGAGCTTCATTTAAATCCACCCATTGATTTGTGACATATTTTGCTCAGACACATGGGTTTCACTTCAAAAATTACTGATAATGTTTTAATCAAACATCTAGCTCCATCTGTTTGTGTTTGGATTCCATGTTTGGGAGGACAATCTGCTACTACCACACCAAAGTTTAGATAAAACAATTATAAAATGGACTTGGAACCATTTTTGTTTGTGCCTTGATCAGTTAGTTATTAGTGGCCATCTTGAATCAAACTGACACCAAACAATTTTCACTTGTATATTTACAGTAGGCAGCACATTGGCACAGTTGGTAGAGCTGCTGCCTCTCAACGAGCAGGTTACCCTGGTTCAAACCCCGGTCCGGGGGCCTTTCTGGGTGGAGTTTGCATGTTCTCTCGGTGCATGCGTGTGTTTTCTCCAGGTATTCCGGTTTCCTCCCACAGACTAAAAACATGCATGTTAGGCTGACTGGTAACTCTAAATTGTCCCTAGGTGTGAGTGAGAGACTGAATGGTTGTTTGTCTCGTTTGTCTCTATGTGTCCCTGTGATGGACTGGAGACCAGTCCAGGGTGTACCCTGCCTCTTGCACAATGATTGCTGGACATGGGCACCAGTGACTCCCACAACCCAAAAAGGAAGAAGCGAGTAAAATATAATGGATGGATGTATATTTACAGTAAATTATTATTTTTCAAGGTCAAGGTCAAGGTTTCTTTATTGTCATTTGCATCTCATGTGGTACATGTGGTAGAATGAAATTGTGTACACAGGGTCCCAGTTACATCCAACAAAAGTATAAATTGTAAAAGAAAAACAGTAATAAGCTCTAAGATATGAACTAAGAAACACACTAAACTAAGAGTACACTGCACTAGTAGTACAAAAACAATACGCCGAACAACAGCAGCATGAACATGAGTCTGTGTGAGCAGATGAGTACGAATGAACACAGAAGAGTGAAATAAATCAGCAGCATGAGATCAGCAGCGTGGATAGTCAGCAGCACATATCAACAATCAAGTGGCATTACAGTGATTTTTTTTCACAGTGATTATCCTGATTAGGGATTTATGAGTCTAACAGCTTCAGGGTAGAAGCTGTTCATCAGTCTAGTGGTTCTGCACTTAATGCTCCTCAACCTCCTTCCTGAGGGAAGCGGGTCAAAACGTGTGTGTTGGGTGAGTGGGGTCCTTCATGATGCATGTGGCCCTCTTCCTGCATCTGGATATGTAGATGTCTTTGATGGTGGGGAGACTGACTCTAACAGATTTCTGTGCAGCCTTCACCACTCGCTGCGGAGCTTTTCTTTCTGCAGCTGTGCAGCCTCCATGCCACACGTTGATGCTGGAGCACAGGATGCTCTCCACTGCATACCTGCAGTGGAGATAGTTTCACTAAAGTCCATTCCCTGGTTTGTGAGATATTTTGCTAACAAATCAGACAAACAAATTAATGCACACAAATGGAGACAGTTACATTATAGTCAGCGAGTGATAATATAAAGCCCGACTGATTAGAGTAACTATCTGATAGACAAGTAGGCAGGTGTAAAAATCAATTAAATGGTTCAAGTGTTAGCTTTATCTTTCATGTCCTCCTGTCAAAGTGCAGCTGGTCAAAGTATTGGAATTACTTTTTTTATCTGCTTCTTTGTGCCATGTCCCTGTTAGATCTGATGTAGTAGCTGTTCAGCCTGCTTTACCTGCAGCGAGGGCTCATTTCATTCTGGGCAATGAGCGAGCCGGTGGAAAGATTGTGCTGGTGCCTGATGTGTTGGACAAACCTGACACAAGCCTTGATTCTGAAACGCAAACATCTGCCTTTAACATTTTCTCTGATGTGAAAACGCTCATCTTGAGTTGTATTCGAGGAGGTCAAACACATCCTGTCAGGTTTAAATACAGTTAAACCAAAGACTTAGCTTTTGTTTTTCAGTTCCCGTTGATAGTCAACATTCTTTTCCTACATGAAATGACCAAGTCCTAAAGTTTAACTAGCTTTTTTTGTTGCCATGACTAAAAAAAGATTAAATAAAGTATGTTATTTGATCCAACATGTGACATTTATTAACCCACTATCCTTCTACAAAATTAAGCCCATCCTTTTGAAGATGACACTGGATCATAAAAACGTTCCAATGTGTCATTTCAGAAATTGTGATTTGTTTCAGAAAATCATTTTATTCCCTAAAACAGAAAAAAAAAGTAGCTTCTTCACAAAACTTTAAGGTAAAAGTGATCTGGGGCACATGGGCAAAACCTTCCTCCATCTACGATACGATCCCTGACAGAAATCTGAATCAGAATATGACTCATGTGTGTTATTTCTTCACAACGAGGCCCTGATAGCATATCTCCTTCCAGCAGAGAGATGGACAGACAGGCAGTGAGAGAGGAAAATGCTCTTATCGCTGCCTGCCATATGATGGGATTAGCTGGAGTGTTGTCTAACAAAGCATTAATGAACAGTTTTAATTGCCTGCATGGCATACACTGCCAAGCTCCTGAACTACACACACACATACACACACACACACAGCTTGAGCTATCCTCATCAGGACATTGCACGAAAACACAATCTTTCACAAACGGCCTAACTAAAAATACTACATGTACCTGTGACTCATGTTGTTAAGGATCAGACTTGATCCATTACGACAACATTGGCTACTAATCAATCCCACATACACACACAGAAGACCAGAGTCAGTTTAGTTGCTCTGCTTTTATTCTCACTACAGATGCACAATTAATATAAATGCTTATATAGATAGATTGTCTGCTTTTGAAGACATTTTGCTTCTAATATTAAGATTTTTTCCAAGTTTTTATCATTTATTTTTATTATCTTGTGACACAATACAATCTGGCTCCAATGCAACCACCAGACTTCATCCACTTCTCTGTGCTAAAAAACTGCTGAAATTTGTTGAAGTTAAGAAAAGAGAACAGAGTCTAAATGTAGCCAAACAATAGCTATAAGTTCAAATTAGCAAAACCATAGCTAAAGGGTAAATGTAGCAAAATAATAGCAACAAACTAAAATTAACAAGAAAATAGCTAAAAGCTAAAAGAAGCATTAGAAGACAAATAATAGAGCAAGCATGCTCAGTTCAATTTCATTGTCTTTGTGAACGGAGAAGAGATCTCAATGCATTTCTGAATGTATTTTTTGTCAACAAAGGTAAATAATAAAAAAAGTTATAAATACTGAAAGTCATAGCACCTTATGACCAATTGAGCTAAGCGTTTTGCTAAATTTAAGTTAAGAACAAGCACAAAGAATACAAAATAATGCAAAAAATAAGTGGAAGAAATTATAAACAGGAAAAAAATGGTGTAAATGTTTGCCCAGCAATCAATCTATTTATTCATTTTTCCAACTCACCTAATCCAGACTATCCAGGACTTCTATCAAACAGATGCCTGAACCACTTCAGCTGATGTGGGACTGAGGACTTCAAACCACTTCTTAATGGCTATGCATTCATTATGATTGAACATTCCACAGAAAGTTATTCTGATGTCTTTAGCATTGAAATAAATAATCCAAGATTCATTGTGTAATCAATATTTTTAAAGCTATTCAAGCAGAGAGAAAGCAGAACATTCTCACACCGTCAACCATGAAGCGCAAGAAAAGCCCTAACACAGCTGAAGCCCAATAGGGAGCCGCACCAACCTCAAGTATGAACAGGTCAAAAATCAATGAAGACTTACAAAACAAAAAGTGAGAATTAAACAAATTGTCCAAAAATGAGTTTCATGGACTCTGACTTTTTTTATTTATTATTTTAATACAAAAAAAAAATAAATCTGAAAGCAGGTGAGTACAATTGACAGACAGAAACAAAATTTTCCTTAGAACGTTTTATTTCTTTTTTGATACACAAGGTCTGTTTCAGAACATGAAGAGTGACTTTTCAGCTAGAAACATTTTCCCTCTCCTGACAAAATCAAGCTGAGAACCCCAATTGAGAGAGTGATTGCCACCACCAGTAAACCCATCCCATCCCTTTCAGTCTCCGAGGCTTTTTCCTGCGCAACATTTATCACTAAATGTACTGAAAGAACTGGTGCTATGATGCATCTCAAAGCTCAAAGGCTCTTTTTTGTAACAGCCTGA